ACAATATGGTCACGTATAAAAATCGGCCACACAAACATTAGTCACGTCCATTTGATGAAATAGAACCAAAATTCTTATGTGAATTATTCTGCAACACATCTTTAATATCTATAAAACGGTTCCGGGACATTGGCGGTCAGAACATTTGCGGTCAGCTTATTTATATCTAAATTTAAGGTATATATTGTATAATATACTTTATATACTAAACTGATTTCCTACGTATACGACTATATAACCGACACAATACAATTTTATTTTAATACTTCCAAAGTTCCAACACTTTATCTATAATAATACTCATAAACAACCAAATAGCAAAAAATCGGTAAACCCAATAATAATACTATTTTTAGTATAAAAACAGTATTAAAATTTGGAGTTTATATGCTAAAATAATTTTATTATTATTTCAGGTTCAAAAATCTTCATTTTAAAGACCCAACACGATGTCATAAAGCTACTGAAAAGATAAAAAATATATTAATTTCAAAAGAAAACTCTGGAAACCATAATTTGAATGAACCTCCAGCACCAACTCAGAGTTCATCCATTACTTCTGAATTACCACCAGTACCACCATCGTTTGATTTATGGTCATATCATGAAGCTGTGGCAAATGTGCAAATTCACCGGAGAACAACACCGATGTATCAAGAGGTTAGATATCAAACTTAATTATTTATATTTAGTGTTTTATATTTTGTATAATATTTTTAGCTATATGACTATTTAGCCAAGCCTGTTGTAGACATTAAAACAGATCCACTATATGCTTGGGAAGTAATGAAGACCATGTACCCAAATCTGTACTTGATTGCAAAAGAAAAACTTAGTATAATTGCCACATCTGTTCCTTCAGAGCGACTTTTTTCCAAAACTGGACATACTCTATCCCAAACTCGAAACAGATTAACAAGTAAGAGGCTGTCAAAAATTGTTTTCATGGGTTCATTAAGTGAACAAGACTGGTTTGAAATTTCAACACCCCTATAAATCGTAGTTGGTTAGATTATAAAAAAAGTTTTTCATTATTATATTAGTTAATATACTTATTTGTTTTTATGAGCTCAATAGCTCATACATATTAGAAGTTACTACTGTTGACTGTTGAGTGATCAAAAGTTTATTTTATTTTTATTTTTGGCTTTCTATTTTGTTACTTTGTTAAAGAGAGATTAAAGTATAATATAATACATTTCCTACTAATCTTACTGTTATTCATGTTGTTTAAAACCCATTTAATATATTTGTTGTTTTTTATAATTTTTATAGGGATCTAATTTGGGTTACATAAATTATTTTAATACAATACCTTCCTGGTATTAAAATATTTTAATGTTCTCTTTTCATGGACCACTACATATAAACAACTTCTTTTATTGGGCTTTGATTATGAAAAATGGTTACTACTTTAATAGTAAGTAGTAACTGGTACAATGTTGATAATCAATCTTATAATTGTTTTTAAGATAATGTTAATAAATGAAAATATGTATAAATTATTAATGAAAATATAAATAATTTTACTTCAATCCATTATAAAATATGTTTTAATTTAATGTGTTGCCTATTACTTATTATAAATAAGGATACAAACTAAATTTAATGAATGTGAAGTAAAATATCATTTATTAGTTTTTTCAGTACCTAAATATTTTAGTTTTAATAGATTTTCATTAATAATACAAATATTAACTTTCAACAAGTTATTAAATATTAACTATCACTTAGGTAATTATTTGAATTATTTGTTAGTTTTGTGCCTGGTTGTAATTTTAATTATCGAGGAACCCATTTCCTCTCCCAAATCCGAATAGTTAATTCTGTAGAGTATGTCTGGAAAGAAGAGTTCGAACTTATATAATACATTGAACATTCAATATGATTGTCATAATCCATACATTATAACCTTAATAATATGATAACTAATATTTCATCAAATGTGTACTTCAGTGATGGCTTTTTAATAGAATTTATCAGATTACCTATATTGATGGTTTTTTTTCATTACTGTAATTACGTGATTCGGTAATGACTAGGTTAATCTTATGTAAATTGAGTTCACCTTAAGTTTATTCACTCTACACCACGGAAAACATCTAATTTGATATGTAACACGGTTTTTTTTTATCGATATATGAACTTATATCGATTTTTATCGATATTAAAATTACGATATTTATCGTAATCGACGATTATGGGTTTATATATCGATATTTTAAATATCGTACCTTTGGTCGATATTGACATCCCTACAAACTACATCTTACTTGAATTGTAGTACAATTGACACCAGATATTCTTCAACATTAATGGTAAACTTTCCAACCAATACCCTAGATTTTTTAGAAAATTTTGTAAATCAATTATTGGAACCTTAACAATTAAACAGCATCTACTACAATCTAAATATAAGTTCAAACCAGCAATTAATAATTGAGACTGTGGCTTCATTTTCTAATCCAGTTAGTAAAAACAGTTTTGAAATATCAGTAACTTTAGAAAATACAACAATGCATTTATTAATTAATAAATATGTTAGTTATAATTGGAGAAAGCATAATAGCACTTGCGAGCAATATGACAATATAACTACAAAAGAAAAAACTGTTAAGCGTTCGACAATAGTCAACTACCAATTTGTTTTATACACAACATTTTTATTATTTGGTTATATTATAATTTAATATTTAATTTATTGCTTACTATTTCAAGATAAAAAAATATTTATGAAATTGAGTTGTTCATGAAGTTTATATTTGTCGTCAATTAAAATATCTCTAATATTTAATTTAATCATACCTAGTCATTTATATGAATGACTATAGTGAAAATAAAATACATATTACTTATTGAAGTGTCCACTAGAATGAATATTAAGTAAATTAAATTATTCAGCACCCAGTTTTACTCTTAAAACATTCTTAAACTACTAAAAAACACATGAATATGAATTTTAAATAGTACCAAAAAAAGTATAAATAATTTCTGTGCCATAAACATATTGTTAACGACCCACCAAATTTTATTTAAGATTATTCTTTTTCTTAATATTAAAAGAAAATAGCAATTGTTTGAAATCAAATTTATAAGTTTTTTTTACTTATTAAATTGTCTAAGTAAGCATAATTGTTGTCTATAAATTAAATTYTATAAGCGATACATTACTGTCTTTTAATACTTTTTCTTTTGTTTCTTTTTCATTAAGTATTTAAATTCTTCAATCATCAATATTTGAAAAATCACATTGTTTCAATTATTGACCGTTCATTGATTCATTAGTTATACCTATTTAACTTCATTAAGAAAAATGTTTATATCTTATGTTTTGTATTATAATCTTGACAAAAATTTTTGTATCTAACATTTTTACGTAAATGGCTAATAATGACTTACTATGTTTATTATTAAATAATAATGTTGTGATGTTATTCATAAAATTGTATTATCAATTTAATACTTTAACATTTTCATCAAAAATTCAAAAAATGCCATGTAGACTTTAGGAATTATAAATGAAAATATTTGTTTTGAAACGCTGAACAAATATTGCAAGCTGCTATTTAAATCTCCTGTAGAGAGAAATCTCAATGCATCAGCTAGCCTAATGTTCGCTGTAATAGCTGATAACATTCCTTACTTGCTTGATTATTTTTGGCCCAAAGCAATTATTTGTTCGAAATTAGCAGAAGACACTTTTAAAATTTTAAAAATGAGAATAATACATATCAGACTGTATACTATTTAACAAATTAGATCCTCTATTTTCATTATCATTGTAGAGCTTAGAACTACAATAGCGTCTTTTTGTTCAAACTTTTTATCAATAAGTACATTACAATGGTATGCAAGCATCTTGTAAATTATTATTCGTAATTGGCAAATTAAATAATTATAAATTAATAATTTTTACTTTATAAATATTTACATAAGGATAACTAATATATTAAAACTGTACTTGTCTCTCAAATAGGTACGAACGTCTACGCATGGAATATTTTGTGCGTCGCACATAATTTTATGTTCACACGAACAAACAAAATTCATTCGAATGCTCATGCGTGCTAGTTCGAGTTCTAGTAAGTTCACTTCAAACGTCGCATAATGTTCACTCAAGTGTAGGCGTCTTGACAATCTTAGGAGGCTATGTTAACAACACACTCATAAAGATTTACCTCTTAAATATCTTTAATCGTCGTACAATCCTACAGACATAATACCATTTATGGCATTTAATAATATTCACAAAATTATGTCGAATTCAATCAATAATGAATAATGATCCTTTTTTGTTTTTTGTTCAAAATCCTACAGCAGTGGCAGTCAGCGATGAATGATGATAATAAAATATAACAAAAAACACATACACACACACCTCCATTCTTGCCGTGACGCCGTGTTATCGACGCATGGAGGTAGAATAATTTCCTGCAAGGATGATGTAATAACCGGCATCTACAAGCTCCCCGTGAATTCCAGGTTCTTGTTGCTCGGGTTCCGGTTGCAGCTTAGTCGGTGCACAACAAATGTCGTGATAACAAAATTGAATGCATTCGATTGTRTATGCACTTGCAGTAGTAAGTTGTGTAATCTCTATACTCTATACACACTATTACGGTAATAGTGTAATAACACTACACCCCCGCGTCCCACCTATTCGTAGTGTTATTTCTCGTTGTTTAAACTTTAATTTATTCGTCTCGTTCTCATGAATGGCTARTTGCATGTGCGTAGATGAATAGTTTTTTGACTAGTGTCCGTCATTGTCCGTTGTCCGTCGTTCTCGTGCGCGCGTCTCTTTCCACCGTCTCGCCATTCGCCGTGCGAAGACTAGACTACACGGCGCCGTCGCGGTTCATATTTTTTCAGACTGAATCGCATGGCCAACTATAAGTCATCGATTGTTGGACAAAATGGACCCTGTCATTAGGTTCACGGCCGCCGGTGTCTGCCGACCAATTGTCTTCGGTGCTTCTTTGTGAATCCTACCCACCCGCGTTATCTCGTCGCATCGACATGATTTCGTATGGACCCCGTTCTGTGGCACCGCCGCTCATGGCAGCAACGATATTGTTAATTATGGTCAAATGTTCTGTTTCGTTTGCCCACTCTTCGAGGCAACAGATCCAAGATGGTTCGATCAGCGACGACACTACCGGACATCACGGTCGATGTGAGTCCATCACCATACCGTTTTGCATGGGCATTGCGTATAATGAAACAATCATGCCCAACTTGTTGGGCCAACAGCGTCAAGACGAAGCGGGCTTCGAAGTGCAGCAGTACTATCCACTGGTGAAAATCCAGTGTTCACATGATCTGCAATTCTTTTTGTGCAGCGTTTTTGCTCCTGTRTGTACTATAATCGAGAGACCTATTCCACCCTGTCGGTCACTGTGTGTATCGGCACGCAATGGCTGTGAAGCAATCATGAACCGTTTCCAGATTGAATGGCCCGATAATCTGGAATGTTCAAAGTTTCCTGAAAATGGCCAACTCTGTGTTGGTGAGAATAATGTAACAAACACTTCACCAACACCACAGACTGGTTTAATAGAACAAAATGGAAAAGATTTAACTGCGCCTGGATCTAGACACTTTTCAGGAGATCAAGGATATTCCAAGAATTCCAACAACTTTGATATTGGATTTGTTTGCCCTCAACAATTTCGAATTGAATCTAATAGAAACAAAAAAAGATCTGACAGGAACAATCAAGTTTACACATTAAAAGTTGGAAATAAGGTAGTGAAAGACTGTGGAGTGCCGTGTGATGCATTCTGGAGTCAAGATCAAATGCGCAAAGCTAGATCATGGGTGGCTTTGTGGTCTGTGCTGTGTGCTATATCCTGTTTGTTTACATCATTAACATTTGCCATTGATACACACCGTTTTCGATATCCTGAACGACCAATAATATTCTTGTCTTTATGTTATCTGATGGTTTCCATATCTTATCTGATTGGATATTTATCAGGAAACAATATTGCGTGCAACAAACAAAATTTAATCACACAAGGTACAGACGATAATGAATGGTGTACTGTACTATTTATGGTGTCTTATTTCTTTAGTACTGCATCTTCTGTATGGTGGGTTGTGTTGACGTTGACTTGGTTTCTTGCTGCGGGACTTAAATGGGGACATGAAGCTATTGAAGCAAATTCTCATTATTTCCACTTAGCAGCATGGACAGTTCCTGCTGCTAAAACAATTACAGTATTGGCTATGGGAAAAATTGAAGGTAAGTCAATTGTTCACATAAGTAATTAAAATATATTATATTTAGTATGAAATATTTCCCATGTTCCTCTTCATAGGTAGATATCTACCTAGATAAAATTATACCACTATTATTGTAAGACATGAAACACAATAAGAACTTTTAAATCCTTCTAGATAAATATAAAACTTATACCTATATATGGATAAGAATAGTCATTGCATTATAGTTATTTGTTGTATATTCTATATTTTCAATACAAAGAATTTATCGAACAATTTTTATTATAATATTGGTACCTATCAAATAATTTTGACACTTTGTATATATCTATATCACTTTTTTTTACTCATACTTTGCCTCATATCTTTTAATAATTACCTAATATAGGTAAATATAATTTTACAGTTTTTGATTTGATTAGGTATTAAATGATCTGTGAATATGTGATKACTATATGATATCATAATTTTTTTTTAACATTATATAAATCACAAGTCATAGACAATAGCTGCATTAAAATTTCAAGTATTACAAACTATAATAAGACATTTTATAAAAAAAATAAATATAATCTCATTTTATGAGTACCTATACAGGTTTTCTGACTCTTGTATTGTAATTATTCATAAAATAGTTTTTAAACAATTATTGTATTTTGTTTAAATATTTTAGGTGATGTTTTAACTGGTATCTGTTCAATGGCTGTTTGGAGTGATGATACTGCTGTGAGAGACATGGTGCTGATTCCTTTAGTGGTGTATCTGATTTTGGGTACAGCATTTTGGATGGCTGGATTTGTTTCTTTATGCCGCATTCGAAAAGTAATGAAACACGATGGTACCCGAGGAACTGACAAGTTGGAAAAATTGATGATACGTATTGGCGTCTTTAGTGTTCTATACACAGTACCTGCTGTGGCTCAAATCTTATGTTTAGTTTATGAACATATAAATCTCAGTTCATGGATTATTAGTTGGCACTCTACTCTTTGTCAAGATCCAAAGTATGCTCTACCATGTCCTTCTCAACCCAGTGACACAGGAARAAAACCTAACTTTGAGGTGTTTATAGCTAAATATTTTGTTTCGTTATTAGTTGGTCTTACATCGAGTGTTTGGATTTGGTCTGGTAAAACTCTGAATAGTTGGCAAAAATTCTTGGCAAAAATTCGACCTAATTCAGGTAAATCTGAAGCATATGTTTAATTTAATTTAATGTTTGATTTATCAATATATYAAAATATTTGTTTTTCAATAATTTAGATTTTTTACAGACTAATATATTTTATACTATTCACTARATGTATATTAATTAGGGATGATTTGATACCACTTTTTATTTATCTAATTAACTATTATATTGGTTTTAAGTCCAATATTCAATTTACATATTAATTTTCAAAATTGAGCCACTCTTTAATTGATTCAGAATTAGCAACTCTAAATGTTATGTATATAATTATAAATGTTGTAGTAATTACATTTATGTGTACATATAAAATAACAATAATCATTATTTAGGCTTGTTTAACAACATAATAAATATTACYAAGTAGTAACAGTTATCCTTATTTATTAGCAATGCAAAATAATTATTGATGTGACGCTATAATTATAATTTTTTTTTACATTTTATATGCCACAATTTCTACTGCTATTATTTATGTAGTGTTATTATTCTCATTGATAATTTGTTACACATAATATATATATATGTGCGTGTGCGTGTGTGCATTTTTATTTGATCAGTGCTAGCTTAGCTATATTGGCATTAACATTAATCATTATAGGTAATTATGATATAACAATTTATTTTTGAGTACAATTGGCATAAAGGACTAGCGACTTGAGCCATACCAACTCTGTTTTTTTTTTCCAAAACTACTGTAATTCACTGTACAACTATATTGTTATCAAAATCTGTCTTTTGAACAAACTTATTAAATAATTTATGCATTTATATTTATTCAATGTTAATATCATGTACCAATAAAATAAAACTGACAGTTTGTTTTTCTGTTAAGACTATTATGAACATTTCATTGTTATAAAACTGCCATATTTTTAACATTAAGCTCATAAAACAATTCCAAAGTTTAATTTTTATATCTTTTATATTAATTAAACAAAAACCTTATTTGAATATTTATATTTGTATGTTTTGTTGCAATTATTATTGTGTTTATTCATTTTAAGTATAAAACATAGTTTTATGATTATTACTCTTGCAATACTATATGAACTTAAATCAAAATAATCTTTATATTTATATTTTTTACTGTATACGCTAATTATTTTGTTAAATGTACAATTCTTGTAGATTCTTAGTAACTTGAATGTTAATATATCAATTTTAAATAATTATAACTATTATAAACAACATTGATCTTAAACATTTTAAAATTCAATTAATTGAGTTTTCTTCAAGTTCAAATTATCAGGAGTATGCAATTTATTAACATAATTTTATTTTATATTTATGATAATATATATTAGTTAMTATTGACTGCAATTAATATTGTACTTAATACTTATATTTATGTATATAGATAAGACTTGAGCAATTTTTTATATCAATATTACAAAACTGTTTTAAAATGATTTATTTTAAATCTTTTATATGGAATAAAAATTTTCATAAAATATATTGAAATACATGGAAATCATTTCCATACAAAAAAATGTAGATTTTTATATTCTATCCTACTTCCTTAATGTTTATTTTATCAGGTTGTATAAGCATTTGTTTCAAAGATAAGCATTACTAATTATGTATACTGTGCATATTATTATAAACGTATAATATATAGTAGGCTAACTTTGACATGTAGACTCCAAATTTGAGAAATATTGGTTGAGCTAACTATATGATTGTACAATGCTCATGTGGCTTTAAAATGATAAAATATATAGTAAATGTTGCATTGATATTTGCTAGTTCAGATTACCCATTTTTTAACCTTATAATTAGCCATCTTTATTCAATAGTAGTTTTCAAAATACTAATTAATTTTTAATTATTTTAATTTTAGCTAAATGTTAAAAATGAAAGCACAATTTAATTCAAAAGCATTTAAATTTTGATATTTGTAAAAATTTCAAAAAATTGCTTATTATTTATGATTGAAAATGTATACAATATTATAATTTGTTATTTCAATAGTTAAGCTTAAAACCTGAATACAAGATTTTACATAAGTCTAAGTTACTCTAACATTAACCTATATAGTATATATCTCAAAAATACAAATATAGAATTTTTACATAGGTAATTTGGATTTAATATTGAAACATAATAATTTTTAGTTATTTTGTTTTGATTCAAAAAATATTATTTGTATAAACTTAAAAGTTTTTACCCCAGTTTATATATATTATTGTTGACTATACTGAAATTTTCAAAATATTTAAATTAGTTTTAAGTTATGTAATAGTTATGTACCTATAAGTCCAATCTCTTTTTACTGGTGTATATGGTACATTATTATTGTCTTATTACTTATAAGTTTTAAGTTAATACCAGCTATTGAAATATATGAAATTATAAATAATATTGATAATTTATTTAAATATAAAATTTATTTTTGTCAAATATTTTTTAATATTTCATATACTAAAAGAAAAAAAAAGTGATAAAATATCTTTAGAAATATAGTCTTACAGGCTATAATTAGTATTAATTTATTTAAAGATAGCATGWARTTCATATACTGCAACATATTGTACATTTAAAAAAGTTGCACTCTGTACAAASTATATACATATACTATCTAGAATGTAAGACGTCATAAATCAATTGATTTCACGATAATATCCACAAAATATTATGTTATTTTTAGAAATGAATACGGACAATACAGTACCTATAAATCAACTGTGTTAAAAATTTTAAATTAATTAGCATATAACTTRTGTATACATAAATATATATATGTATACAATATGACCAATGTTTAAAAATTTTAAATAATACTTTAAATTTAATTGTTATATATTTAATTATTGTAATTTGACTTTTTTTTCTGGCTACCATCTAACACGTACCTATGTCTGTTTACGATGATAGTCTCTTTATCGCTTTATAACCAACCTTTTTATCGACAATATCGACAATTATTGTATATTTGTGGTAAAGCCTAATGAATCTTATACTCCTACAGATTTACCATGAAACAAATATAAATYCAAACTCAACACCCAAGTAATGTGTTTTTTAAAAACAAAAWAAAAAATTAGCAGCATATTTTAAAGCATGTTTTGACGATTTATTTTACTGCATATTTCGATAATTTTAATAGATGTGTAATTTATTTATTATCAGAATATATGAAGGTGCCAGAGGTAACTACAGTGGCGCCCAGATTTGTTGACAAGTACTATAACGCATCTGCTTACGAGGAGAATGGCTGTAAACCAGTAAACTACTGGTGTCACAGAGAAGTTTATATATTTATAATATAAACTATAGGMTATAATAATTAATTTCTGTGAACTTCAGTGATTAATAGGTGAGTATAATTATGGAGTGCAGCAAGATTATTATTATTTTTTTTTTTTTAATGGTTGGGTAGATAGGTAACTTTTTTAATTGTATCTACTTTCAAAATACCTCTGTGCGTCACTGCAGGGTACCTATGTACCGCATTGACCCATATACCCATAGTACCTCGTTCGATCAGAAAGTGAATCTAGTTGGTACTTTGGGGGGTCAAAAGCAAAAAATTCTTAATACTTTTCTAAATAATCGAAAAAAACAAACTAAAAATTAAGGGAAAAACGGGAAATTTTACGCACACTTATTTTTCGACAAAATCGATTTTGGTTTTTGATGTAACTTTAAAAAAATGACCATAGATACATGCAATTTTTACCGAATGTTTATATAAGTATATTATATCCACCATGCAATTTTCAAAAATGTTCGACTTAAGTTGAACTATTCATAGGCATTTGAAATTTTCGAT